ACCAAGGAACACAAGTTTTCAGGACTGAAACTGTAGCTTTGACTCTTTCTCCCTGGAAAGTTTTGGAGTTCCTTTCTTCAAAGTCAGAGAGTCATCAAAGGCTTATTAGCCCATGTTACCAGCTCCAGGGGATCTGGCCACAAAGCGATCAGTCTAGATCCAGCTCTCCAAATGATTTGGGCCTCATCCTGTTAGCATCCCCTGTTAGGCTTTTAAAGAGGCTTTGTTTTATTAGTGACATGAGGACACATCTTATCTCCTTTGAAAGAGTCCTGAGGACAAGGCCCCATTTAATCAGCCTGGCCACAGAGATTCCAGTGTGCAGAGGCAGGTACTTGGCAGGCCGTGATAAATAATGAATCCATTCACAGTCCCCAAAGCCATGTCCAGAGTTAAGTTGTGCCCCCAGTTACTTTTTGCTTTGTTTCAGGAAAAGCCTTTCAAAAAATATACACTTTGGGATCAGGAAACATCCCACAGAGAAAGTCCTTTGTGCTTTCCTCCCACTTGAAGCAGCCACAGGGTTGGAGGTAACCGAATAAGCTGGTTCCCACCAAAAAGGACCCACCTGTAATATGAGGGATTCCTTGTCTCCTTCTAGACGTGCCAAGCGTTCCTGGTACGTTTCATTGCTAGCAGCACCGTGGTGATTTACCTGGGACTAAAAGGAAGGGGGAAAACACACACACACACACTTAAAAGGCTAGAAAAACATCATAGCAGCTTCTAAATGAAGTATGCAATTTATGAGGGCAGTTTTGTTGATTATCTGTGCGAAACCACCCACCTCAACAGGAAATCACAGGATTTCAAAACCACTACAAGGAGGACCAGAGCAGATGCCACTGATAGGCGTGCCGTGAAAGCTGGCAACACCACCCGCTGGATGACCTCACCTTTGGCTGCAAAGGCCTCAGTGGAGCTCCAGACCCAGTGGTGCTTGACAGGGCTGGACGTGCTGGGTCTGGTTTATTGGAGGCACAACCTGCCGGAGGCACTGACAGCACTAAGGGTCTACTCTTTGAGGACACCAGGGAGGAGGTATCATTCACCAAGGAACTATGTGGGAACAACCCCTACACAGATCTTGTCTCCTGACTCTCACGCTGGGGTTCTCCAGAGCCAAGGCACACCTCACAGCGTGGAGGTCCGTCCTGAGCATCACAGAGCGCACGGAGGATAAGGGATGCCAACTGCCCGGCCCTACCCCTACTCACACGTCCCTTCTGGAAGTGGCTGATCCCACCCCTCAACAAAGGCCCTGGCAGCCAAGCCAGCACATTGAGTTTCTGTAACACCGGAGCTGAGAGAAGCAAGCTAGGATGAAATATCTTGCGAAGAACCGAAATAACAGCCATAGGGATCTCAAGGGCCAAGCAGAGGGAAAAACCAGGGAAACGTAAAGTAGCCAGAAACCATGGAAAACAGAGGAAAGGGAGAAGATCTGATAAGGCAGATGAGAGGCAAATCTTATAAAATGCCCTGAGCTAGAGGCAGGAGCTGCAGCCACTCTCTGGGTGTGTCTGGCCTGGCTGTAGTCAGGGAGGAGGGAAGTGGCTGCTCATGGAACTGAGCCAGCCCAACACCACCAATACTCCCTTCCTCCGTGATGAAGGTCAGGCCGAAATCAGAGGCCCGCCGTAGGCCATCCAGGGGCTCCACAGTCTGCAAAGCAGAGCTTACTGCTAAACAGGGAAATGACGCTCACCATCATCTGGGCCGGTCCAGAGGAACTGATGTTCCCATGTTCACAAGGGAGGCACCCTATACCCCAAAGTCACGACTGTACAAAGGGGGCGGGGGGTCAGAAGAACCCAGGCACAGGGGCCAGAGGTGGCTCCCTACTCCTGTGCCCATTTCCCATATTCCAACCTTTGGAATGGGCTTTCCAGGCCCCCTTCATTAAGAAAGGACACCTCCTTCCTTCCCTTGCCCCACCCCTTTCCCAGTGCACTGCCTAGGTGAGGGCAGGTGGCAGAGCCAGCCCTGGTTCAAAAACAGAAGTGGGGAGCAAAGATTCTGCATTTGAGCACCAAAACATCACTCATGAAAGATGCACTGGCTGTATGTTAATGGCGCAGTGCGAGGGTGGGCCCAGGGGCCATTTCCCAGGGCAGCCGTGCCAGACACAGGCTAGAGTGACTGGCATCCCTGCCATTATACTGCCCTTGACTCCAGCCCCTCTCCAGCCTGCACCTTGTTCATTGTTCTGGAAGCCCTTTCACACCATAAACAAAGGGCCTTAACAATCAATAATGGCATCTTTGTGTTGATGGCAGTTCATTATTGTTCCATTACTTAATACTCCAGTCATCGCATGGTCAAACACTGACTAGTATCCAAAGATATAACCCACATTTTCTTAGAACCTCACAAAAGAGAGGAACGTAATTCTTGACAGCAGGTCAAATTGCTTCTCTGTCCAAGAACTCACATGATGGTGACTTTCAGAGGAGAGAGAGGGAGTAGGAAGGACCCAGGCACCCCAGTGGAGCTGGGCGTGTCCATCCCCAGGGCCAAAGTCATCATGAGCAGGGCCACCCCGCACTGGCAGCTGCCACTTCTCCAGCAGGAGGTGAAGGAAGGAAGACCAAAGGGGAAGCTCCTTTCGCAAGACTCTAGCGAGCCGCCACACCGACCATGCGGAGTGCGGTGTGTTCGTACAATAAAAGACCTACCCACGCAGTCACCCAGAGGCAGCCATTTTCACTAGTTGACCAAAAAATATATATATATAACAAAGGAGGTGATGTTATAAGTTAATACACAAAATGCATGCCATAGAGTTTATAGCACATGCTAGATTTTTTTTTTAAAATCTGGATCCACTCCAGCAGTCAATGGAAAAAGGGAAGCACTACTGAGTTACAAGAAACACAGATGGAGGAGAGGGTGTAGCTCAGTGGTAGAAACTACATGCCTAGCATACACAAGGTCCTAGGTTCAATCCCCAGTACTTCCAAGATGCACCGATCAGTGTGGTAAAGTCAAACTGACTGCCTAGGAGAAACACAAGCTTCTAAGGAAGGGAGAAACGTCCCTGGTTTTCACGGAGAGACTTTGTGTAGTGGGATAAACAACACTCAATAACATCCTCACAGTAAACAGAGCTGAGGAGAGCTCACTGCTTTCCTTAAGAGGTCAAAGGTTAGTGGACAACATGGGCCAAAGCGATTCTATGGAGGCCAATACAATGTGGTCCAAGTACCGTGCTCACGATGTGGGGCCCTCACCATGTGCCAGCATTGTTCGGAGCACTTTGCCTATATTAATTCATTTAATTTTGCCCACAGCTCCATTACGTGGGTACTATTTTTACTCATTCCCATTTTACACATAAAGAAACTGAGGCACAAAGTGAACGGATGAGGCACAAATGGATAATTTGCCCAAGTTACTGTGTACTAAATTAGTGAGTTCTCCGTAATAGCTTAATTGAGATCAACAAATCTGTGTTGTACATATTGGGACTGAATAAAAATTCATTTAAAATAAGGTTGAGGGGAGAGTACAGCAGTGGGAGAGCCGTGCTTGGCATGCCCTAGGTCCTGGGTTCAAGCTCCAGTTCCTCTATTAACCGGAAAAAAAAAAAAGGATTTTGAAAATGCTGTCTGAACCTGAAAGTCCATTAGCAGAGGAGTGGATAAATAAACTAGGGTTCATCCATATTTCTGGACAATTTGTAGTATTTTAAACCATGGGGTAGATATTTACAGACCACCACAGAAATATAAGACATGTTGGATAGTGAAAACAGCATAATTCAAAGAATCACAAAGTGTGATGCTAGAAAACAGTACTACCAGCTCCACAGGTAATGATGTGTGTCTGGGAGGTGACGTAACAATGCTTAACAGTGTTCTCTTATGAGTAAGTGTCTGGGCTATAAAAAGCTGGGAGGGGGAGGTATGCTCAAGTTCCCCTTTCCTTGGCATTTGTGAAAGTCCGCTTTATGGTCTAGCACATTATCAATTTTTATGTACGTTCTAAACATGTCATAAAATGATGTACATTCGCCAAAAAAAAAAAAAGACGGGCTTTTACTTTAACCACAATATTTGAGCTTCTTATAAAAATGTCTCTTTTCTTGGTAATTAAAATATATCTGAAAATCTAACAGCACTGTTTCAGTAGCAGTAGTAGTAGTTCCTGGTGCTTTTTTGCTCCCCTAACAGACTCCCGGCAGACACGTCAGACCGTACTACAGTGATGCTTATGGCAGAAAGTTCCCTCCCTCGACCCAAATCACCGTTCTAGATAACAGAGCCTCTTCCACAGTACCAAAATCCCTGCTGTTCTCAAGCACTTTTTAAAGGTATTCAACAGCAGTGAGATGGAGATAATGTCCCAGACAGAAGTCTGCCACATTGCCACCCCTTGCTTTTGATGAAGTGCCAAGTCCTAAGTTCTCACAGTCTACATAAGACTGACAGCTCTCAAGAAAACTGCACTCAAGCCTTAGCAGGGCACAGACCAGGAAAAAAACGTCACCTCTACTTGGAGAAGAACCTGGAAAGCATCTAAGAACAGGGCCAAGAAGAAGATTACTTTATTAAGTATTGGCATTTTTTCCCTTTACTAACTGAGGCACTGGGGATTAAACCCAGGATCTCGTGCACACCAAGCACACGCTCTACCATTGAGCTATATCCCTCACCCCTAGATTAGTTTAGAATCATCTCGTTGAATGCCAGCGTTCATCAGCCAAAGGTGAGGATTTGAGTTTAAGTGAATAAATGCATACTTCTTATTCTGGTAACTGGGCAACAGGCTCGATCACTTTTTGGCATCATTCTTGGATAACATGGCTCATCATGGTATCATCATGGCCTAATAGGCTAGATCGTTATGAAAATGTCATTCCAATGATTCAGAAACTTGTTTAAAAAGACAGAGCTGGGACACAGCTCTGTTTGTCCTATGTTAAGAAGAGCTTGCTTTGTCAGAGGTTACATCTGCTTCCTTAATTCTAACAGTGGAACAGCAGTAGAAGGCTTGGACCAATACTGAGACCATACAGCTGGGTCCCTGAGTGATTCCAGGTTTGGGAGTCTCTGGAAAGTCTTGTCTGTGTTCTCTATTAGGTAAATCAGTGACAGAGCAGTTGTCCAGCTCTCCGAGCATGAAGTCAGATTGGCAGAATCATGCTGACATTCCACTGAGAAGAAAGTCATGTGGAATTCTGAAGGATGCTACATGCCATCTTTCTAATCCTCCCCATTCTGGGAGGACAATTTAAAGGAGAGCTCTATCCTGTTCAACACTATTAAGGATGCTCAACCCACTGATAAATATAAATAAGGAAGGGGCCATTTTTACTCAACTAATGATGTTAGCCACTGGGCCAGACCTGTACAACGGACTTGTGATGTACTAAGGTGTGAAACACATATATTTGATCAAATTTTCTCTTCTGTTTGATGGTTATTTCTACAAATGAGACAGAGGGAAAGTGAATTTTCTCATCCAAACTTTCCATGGTCAGAGCTGTTCCTCAATCTGTAATTCAAGTTAGTTACCTGACTGCAATATTGTGTGGGACCAACAGATATTGTGAAGGCGAAGGATGTGTGTACTCTCTGGAGGTGAAATGGCATCTACAGATTGACATTTCCTTGTCCTCTTGCATCTTTCACTGAAGAATGCCACAGTGAAACATAC